CCGGTGAAATTAGTACACTGAACGCCGCTACCGGCGCGAGAAGCGCAATTACAAATTGTATTGTTCTGGACACACCACTTCCCAGGTTAGCATCACGCTGCTGCCCGCTCGAGAAGCGTAATTACAAATTGGACGCCACTGTCCAGAACAACATCCTGTAGGACAAGGAACCTTCGAGTGGCGCGTATTTATAACACCTTGCTGCCCCAAAATCAGTTAAGTTCGTGATTTGTAAGGTAACCAAGAACGATATTGAGAAGCGTCTCTAGCACGTTAATTGTAAACGCGTGGGAGTGCACAAAGATTTGGCGCGTTCAAAGCCCGTACAATCTTGGGAACTGGGGAAAGAAGATACGACTATCCAGAATGTACCTACCTATTTTAAGTCGGAATGATCAAAACGGGATCATTACGACGCTAGGGCCTTATAATATACCGAGGGTCCGAGAGTAGAGAGAAGAGAGCAGAGAGAGGGCACAGAGGTGGGAGCTAGACCAGGTTAGGCGAAGGGTAAGCCTTGTGACGATATTCTTGTACACTGCATGCTAGATAGTCGTCTGTTCGACAAATGTTATAGCCAGTGTTTCAGGTAATAGTGGTTACCCTTCTGTAGATTTATAGGTCCTCAAAGTTCGTAGTTTGTTTTGTAAACGTCAAACTATTCATAGTTGTTCATGATTTAATATTTTTAAAAATATTGCAGCGCGAAGTCTGTCATCTTTGACATAGCCTACGATCACGAGCCAGAGTGGTGTAGCCAGTACAACAACAATACTGTTACATTCTTGCCACTCAATTTGGTTTGTAATTTTTTAAAAGGAGAAACATTATCACTCCCAGTAATTACGATTACGATCATGACATTATTTCTGTCTTCAATATCTATCCTAGGTTGCGAAAAACAAGTACATTGTATAATCCTAAATTCACACGTGCATGAAATAGAAAAATATTTAACTCATAATATTATACAATGAGAGGCATCATTAGATTTTTTTTTTAACCCACAATAACGATCATTACTAAAAAACAAAAATCAATCAGCAGGAATTCAAACTTGATCCGGTGATTTGCTATTCTAATGCAGACACCCGAGCGCAATAAAACTACAAGGGGGGAGGGGGGGGGGCACGTGAAATAGACCAACAGAATGTAATATGGTCCAATTTCAGCAACAGCAAAAGACCGTATGTACGCAGTCCTTGTCAGGTCGACGTCCTTGAAGAATTTCACCATGAAGAATTATAATGTCCGTGTTTCTTAACACCTTGACAATTCAGCACAGTCTTGGTACACTTTTTTCAATACATTCAAAACAATCGAATTGTTCTTCGACAAATGTATTCACGATGTGTGCGTAATTAACATTTTCACTAATCTCATCAAAGAGCAAGACTCGAACCAGCAACGTTATATTGACCCAACCATATGGCTTAGCTTATTGGGTCATGTCATAACGTTTATAGTAATAGATGACAGCACGCCTGAAATACATTTACCATACATTTGGGAGTACGTTAAAAATTAGAACAATCGTATACGCTTTATACTGTCTTCCGACCTCATAACCACTTCTATTAATTAATTGCTAACACAGCCCGCAGTTATTTAATGAACTGTTCACGTCTCAGACTGCTATTCACTTGCCCCCC